GAGGACTTCCTTCCTCCGGCATTGTGTTGTGGCACTGGTCTAGGTGTAGCCACTGGCACAAGTGCCAGAGGGCACTGGAGGAGGAGGAGTTCTTTGCGTATGTGAAGTTGGGCCGTGCACTGGCACATACATGGCTGCTTGGGAAGGAGAGACCCAAATCCTCCACTTGGGGCACTTCCCATATTGCTCCCTCGCTCTGCATAGTTCATTAGGACAGGGAACAACCCCACGTGTTCATGAGTTAGGCCTCAAAAAGTCATTTCCACATACCCGGAGAATGTAAAGAAAATGGCAGGTGGGAGGTGTGTGGGGAAATTAAGGTAAAGGAAGAATAATAAGGTGAACAGTATTACTATGTTCATTGAAACAGGTCTATCATTGGGGCTTATGCTTACATCAGGCAAAGGCAAATACACTATCTGATGTCCTTGAAAGTTCGTCTTAGATCTGCCACACTGTTCACCCCGTGCTGGCCTTTCGATGAGGCTGAGACCACTGGGCCAAAGTTAACCTGTGTAAGTTCTGACCCAGGAGCTGGTGAACCAAAGTGCCCGGTCAGCTATGGAATATTTGGAGTGGGCGGCACCAGAGAGTATGTTTCAGTATAGGTTAGCCATGTCTCTGGCTGTGGGGACTGTAAGGTAATTGGGAACCTCTGGCTGGACTTAGAACAAAAGTTCCCCAAGCGAGGTGAGCCAATGCTGCTGCTCCTATCAGAGAGAGCAGGAATGGGCCACCTGGTTGTTTCAAGTTCACCAGCAGATGGCGCACAAACAAGAATCTAAAAATCTTGTAATGCATTCTCATCACGGATTGGCCATTGTACCAGGCTGCCGTATGAGGCAGCCAACATTCTGGCTGTGGTTTCACACAGAAAGGACCCAATGTGACAGAGTTCTACTGGCTGCCTGGATGAAATACTTATTACAGGGGTAAATGCGGCAGCTAATTTGAGAGACCTAGTCCTGTGCTGCAGTGGTTTGAAGGGTCTGTGTTTCTGGGAAAGAAGGGTTTTTTCACAAGTGGGTCATAGAGATTAGCCTCTAAGGCCTCTACCAGAGAAAATAGAGTTACTAAGAATGTCACAAGTCACCACTGAGATCCTAGTGAGCTCTGGTTACTTCATTAACGGGAAAACTTCTTCTGTCCTGTCTACAGTAAAAATCCCACAAACCAAAACCCAGCGCTGTGGTTGTTCAGAATGGATAAGAGTGAAGAATGTCACAAGGCATTTGATGCAGACCAATATCCTCATTTCTTTGAAGGTGCTAGTAGAGTTTGATGTCCAGGTGGAGCCTCACCTGTGGGGAGAAGTGGGTTTGCTCACAAATGGCAGATGGGACCAAAAGGCCAGCCAGTCACTTTCAGAACCGCAAGTCAAGCAGATAAAAAAATGTGCTCAGATGTAACACAGCATTCTGTTAGGAGTGAAGAAATTCCAGGAGTTTTTGTAGGAGAGAAATTCTACTTTAATCACAGACACAGAATCACTGGTCACAATTCTTGACTCCAAAATGGGATGACCGGTTTTAGCAGCTTCGGAATTACAGAAATGTGTTCTGAAGCTAACATCTTATCACTGTGCCACCTGGAACAAACCGCCTGAAAACTTCAAAAGCACTTCTGCTGTTAAAGATTAGAAAGACCCAAATCCCATTCTCAGAATCTCCTTTGTGGAGATTCTGTTCCTGTTGCTGCAAAGACTGAATGACACTTTCTGCTTATGACACATAGCAAACTTCATTACCAACTCCCAGAGTACTTTATAGATTTGTCATCACCCTCCATTTGCAGAGTGGAAAACTGAGGCACAGCAGAGGGAGGAAGGGAGCTGCCTAAGGTTACGCAGCCAAGTCCAGGGCACTTGGAGAGAACTCTGATCCTAGCAGGTGATTTGACTATTGTCAGTGAAGAATGATGTAAGCTAGAAGCAACTCAAAAAGAGAATTCAGCAGAGGGACTATAATGCGGGATTTCCATGCAGTGACACCAGAATCCATGCCAGCTTTCAGAATTCCACTGTGAATTCAAGCCCCATTGGCAAAGCTTGAGTAAGAACTGGTGGCCAGTTCTACTGCTCTTCCCCTCCCCCCCCCCATCCATAAAGCTTATCAACCTGTCAAAGAAAGCTATTCGTTTGGTTTGACGTGATTTGTTCTTGACAAATCCATGCTGACTGTTACTTATCACCTTATTGTCTTCTAGGTATTTGCAAATTGATTGCTTGATTATCTGCTCCATTATCATTCCGGACTGAAGTTAAGCTGACTGGTCTGTAATTCCCTGGGTTGTCCTTATTCCTCTTTTTATAGATTGACACTATATTTGCCCTCTTCCAGTCCCCTGGAATCTTGCCTGTCCTCCATGAGTTTTTGAAGATAATCTGTGGCTGGCTCAGATATCTCCTGTCAGCTCCTTGAGTATTCAAGGATGTATTTCATCAGGCCCTACCGATTTGAAGACATCTAACTTGTCTAAGTAATTTTTTTAACTTGTTCTTTCCCTAATTTAGCCTCAGATCCTTACTTTCACTGGCATTCACTATGTTAGACGTTCAATCGCTACTAACCTTTTTGGCAAAAACTGAAACAAACAAGTCATTTAGCTCTTCCGCCATTTCCACGTTTTCTGTTATTGTCTTTCCTCTCTCATTGAGTAATGGGCCTACCCTGTCCTTGATCTTCCTCTTGCTTCTAATGTATTTGTAGAATGTTTTCTTGTTACTCCTTATGTCTCTAGCTAGTTGAATCTAGTCCTGGTGATTTATTACTGTTTAATTTTTCCTCAAACCTCCTCTATTGATGCCTCCATCTGGGACAGTTCCTCAGATTTGTCACCTAAAAAGATTGGCTCAGTTGTGGGAATCTTCCTCACACCCTCTGCTGTGAAGAGTGATACAAAGAATTCATTTAGCTTCTCTGCAAGGGCCTTGTCTCCTTTGAGTGCTCCTTTAGCACCTCAATCATCCAGTGTCCCATGGATTGTTTGGTAGCTTTCTGCTTCTGATGTACTTTAAACATTTGTTAGTTTTTGTGTCTTTTGCTAGTTGCTCTTCCGATTCTGTTTTTGGCCTACCGACACTTGACTTTCCAGAGTTTATGTTCCTTTCTGTTTTCCTCAGTAAGATTTGACTTCCAATTTTGAAAGGATGTCTTTTTGTCTCTAATCTCCTCTTTTACTCTATTGTTTAGTGGTGAAGATTTTTCAGTCCTGTTACTGTTTTGTTTTTATTTGGGCTATACATATACACCTCTACCCCGATATAACGCTGTCCTCGGGAGCCAAAAAATCTTACCGCGTTATAGGTGAAACCATGTTATATCGAACTTGCTTTGATCCTCCGGAGCTCACAGCCCCCGCCCCCCCGCCCG